AGCGGCGGCGTGGGCCGCTGCGGCCTCCTCCTCCTCTTCATCACCCTCGCCATCGTCGTCTTCATCGTCGGCCAGTGCGGGCATCTTAGGCCTTTCCTCCGGCTCCAGCTCGTCGAACTGCGCCCTGCTGAGACAATATTTTTATTAATTAATTAATAAATAAGTAAATAATAAATAGGAGTGAATGATAATTAGAGGGTGGAGGGTAGTGGAGGGTACTCTTCTGAGCCACTCTTGTCTTCGGTCTCTGTGCCCTCCGACTCTGACGTGGTCTCGATCTCCTCTGGGCTTCCGAAAAACAGCTTGAAATTGCACTTGTTATATCTGCACAATTGCACAACGACCGCACACGCACGTGAACAAACCGACCCGAGTTGAAAAACAAAATAACTATAACAATAACAATAACAAACAACCAATAAATATAATAATAAATCGTGGCGGAGAAGCGCACATGTTGAAATCGTTGTGGCACGGGAAGTTGGTGTGGAGGATGAACTTCTTGACGACGTGGGTGCGCATGTCGAACAGGATGTCCAGCCCGAGCTTGAAGTAGTTGTAGAAGTAGTCCTCGCAGCCCGCACCGATGATGGCCTGATCGCCCGAATGGATCCGCATCTTGTCCTAGCGTGGGTGCCACAGTGATCAGACTGAGCAGCCCCCGGCACCGCACACACCGCACACACCGCACACACCGCACACGTATATGGGTATGGGAGTACCTCGTGTTTGTAGAAGGTGCGGTCGGGGCGGCCGAGCTCGGTGAGCACATCCTGCGCGGTCGATTGGAAGTCGAGGCGGCAGCCGCGCCTCATGAACTTGATGCCGTGCGCCGCGTGCACGCGCAACTCCTCAAAGTAGTCCTCCTTGAGGTCGAGCGGCGGAATTGTGGTGTCGCGCTTCTCGCCGTGGTAGACCACCATGCGCGCCGCCGTCGGCGTGGTGCCATCGGAGAACTCGATCGGCAGCTCTGTGGTGGTGGAGAATCCATGACGACGTCGGCAATCAGTTGACGTACGCACAGTTTTCGATGTCGCCTCACGTACCAGCTTCGTCAAAGTGCTTCCACTTGTTGGGAATCGGGAATGTGAACGTCACGCCCTACAATTCAGAAAGATTGACGTGAGTCGCACAACACACGACACACACGACACGACACACGACACACACACGACACACACAAGACACGATGATTAGCGTGGCGGAGGGGGTTACGGGGTAGTCGAGGCAGTAGGTCTGGCGGTCGCGGTTGTACTCGCCGGGGAAGGAGGGTCCGAAGCGGCCGTAGATGAGCACGAAGGTGGGGAGGGTGTCGGGGCCGCTGAAGGCCACGCCGCAGTAGCGCAGCACCACGCGGGTGAGGTCGTACACCTCGATCGAGTGCAGCCGCTGCGTGCGAGGCTCGAACCGCAGCAGCAGGCCCTCTTCGTTCAGATCGATCAGCAGGTACGTATTCAACAGGTCCTGCATGGTTGGCGCCGCACACGTACACAATGGCACCGCACACACGAGCAGCCGCACACGCACGGTAAGTACGCGGAGGGAGAGGCGCAAACGTAGTTGTGGGGTAGCGCGGGCACCTCTTCGCAGTACTTGAGCTCGACAGCCGAAATGGTCTTGTAGTTCTTTTGGATGTGGGCGATGGCAGAGGAGATGGGCATACCTGCGAATCGAAGCTCGAGCTCTTCAGCAAAAGATCGGGTGGGGAGGGAACGAGAGGGAGAGGAAGAAGCAGAGCACGCACCGATTTTGAATTCGCCCACCGATTTGCCAGGGATTACTTCCACATCCAACATTGTTTGCGCTCTCTTGGGTGATCTCTTGTGATGGCTTTTGGTCCCAAAATAAAGAAAACAAAATTAAAAGATCAAGGGTGTTCGATAATTGATGCTTCTTTGTGTTGTGATGGATGATGGTTCCTCTTCTCTTTCGGTTCAACAGTTCAATCGCGAGTTGTAGTGCTTTGTGAAATTGTTGGATTTTCTTTCAGCTTTCTCTTTTGATAGCGTCGACAAGAAGCCACGTCATCATCCGCCACACACGTTGTTCGTCAACACCATCACCAGTCGTAGAGGGACGAGTAGAGCCAGGGAGAGGTGAGCGGGAAGAGGAGGACGAAAAACAGGATCAACCCGCCCACGAATGCAATGTACAACTCTGCCAGACAACAACACAAACGAAACGAAACGAAACGAAACGAAACGAAACGAAAAGGGTCAGCCGCCTCTACCAATGCAGAGAGAAGACAATGGAGGTGGCCCATGGAGAGAACGTACTCTCCTTGTGTGGGTGGCTGGGGATGTATTCGATGGCAGGGAATCCCATAATATTACAAAAGGCATGGGCCAGGAAGGGAGCCACGATGTGGCCTGGCGAGAGTGTACGAATGCACTAAGTACTAAACACTTGAAGAAGACTTGAAGAGGAAGGTGGGCTGAAAAAACGAACCTGTTCGCAAAAAGAGGAAGGCCGAGTAGCAGCCGAACACGGTCGTGTAGAA